GATAAGCAATGATGGACTGGCCTACCAGTTTGGCATTCCTCACCATGTGCAGCACCTAGAAATTTGGGGTAGGGAAGTGAGTAGAGATCACTTAGAAAAAATACCCCTGGTATGCTTCCCTACTTCATACCTCATCATATTTCCTGTTGATCAGGGCCAATTTGAACTTGAACTCTGTGGGATCAATGGTGAGCACCCGAGGACGACACTCCCTGTCTAGGCAATATACATTGTTGCCCTTCACCCGTGTGACGTAGATGGGTAAATCCAGAGTTCGGATGATCCCGTGGTCCCTAGGAATAGGGTGTAGAGGGCATAACTGTCAGTAAGTGAGAGGAGAAGGCTTGAACCTGTGGAAAATCCAGCCTGTAAAGAAATGGAACAAGCCTAGGACATAGCATTTTATCTTCTCATTACCCTTTTGTCAAGTGTCATATGAACAAGGGTATAGATAATTGACTCAAAAAAGAGCAGAACTAAATGCCAATTTTATTTATTTAATTCATTTGTATGAAGTGTGGAAAAATGGGGCAAATGATATGATCTTCCTTTATAAGCTATTACTATAGGAGCTGAGTAACAGACAGGACTACAGGAATCAGACCTAAGAGTTAAATCCGAAGTTCTGATATACAGTCAGTAGAACACTGCAGATAGTTAATTTCTTCCTTGTAGGCTACAGATGAAAGCAGAAGAACGGTAGATGTGAAGAATTCTGACATACAAAAAAATCATGGACAGCAGAAAATATTCTGAACTGTGATAATAAAAATATTGCAAATTAAAACTAGTGGGTATAGCTAAAGCAATACTTGATAATTTATAGCTTTGTCCACATATACTGTATTAAAAGAAATACTGAAAATTAATGAGCTCTCTCTACATATACATTAGGAGAAAGACTAAAATTTAATGAGCACCTATCTCAATTAATTTTACTATTCCTCTTAAAGTTAAACCAAAGAAAGTACTTAGAAGGAAACTGTAGAGTCAATAACAGAAATTAATGAAACAAGAAACAAAATATAATAGAGAAGTTTAATAAAGTCAAAAGTTAGATAAAATTAATAAACCTCTCACAAGGCTGATTAAGAAAAAAAGAGAGAGAGAAAGGTAATAACAGGAATGAAAAGGGTAATATTAACATAGATTCTGTAGAAGGAGGATATGAGTAACTTTTTTAACTGATCAACTTCCCAGAAAAATAAAATTTACTACAATTAACTCAAAAAGAAAAGAAACCTTCTACAGTTCTATAAAGGAGCCCTGGTTGCACAATTGACCAAAAGGTCAGCAGTTCGAACCCACCAGTTGCTCCACGGGAGAAAAGACCTGGCAATCTGCTCCTGCAAAGATTACAAACTTAGAAACCCTATGGGGCAGTTCTACTCCGTCATATAGAGTTGCTATGAGTTGGAATTGATTTGACGGCACACAACGATAGTCCTATAACCACTAAATAAAATAAACTGAATCAGATAAAAATCTTGCCTAAAAGAAAGCCCCAGGCCTGGCTGGCTTCACTAGCAAATTCTACCCAATATTCAAGGAAGAATTAATTGCAATCTCATACAATCTCATTGAAATAAAAGAGAAAAAGAAGGTACACTAATTAACACAACTAGAACCTGATTAAGGACAGAAAGATAAATGGAAATCATAGGTCAATCTCACTTATCAACACAGATGCAAAAATTCTAAACAAAATTTTAACAAACTGAAACTAGTAATATTTAAAAAGGGTAAAACAAACAAGAATACAATGTCGGTTTATATTAGACAAAAGTCAATATAATTCATCACATCAATCAATGAAAGAATATTTAAAAAGGGTAAAACAAACAAGAATACAATGTTGGTTTATATTAGACAAAAATCAATATAATTTATCACATCAATCAATGAAAGGCAAAAAATCATATGATTTCCTTAATATATGCAGAAGTGTCTGATAAAATTCAATGTTCATTCAAGATAAAAACTCTTAGCAAGCTAGAAATAGCAAGGAAATTTTTTTCTAAATTTTACTTGGTTGTTGTTGAGACTATACACAGCAAAACACACATCAATTAAATAGTTTCTACATGTGCAATTTACTGACACTGAGTACACTCTTGCAGTTGTGCAACATTCTCACCCTCCTCTTCTGAGCTGTTCCTCACTCATTAACATAAACTTACTGCCCCCTAAGGATTCTATCTAATCTTTTGAGTTGCTGTTGTCAATTTGGAGGCCTGGTGGTGCAATGGTTAAGAGATCAGCTGCTACCCAAAAGGTCAGCATTTTGAATCCACCACCCACTCCTTGGAAATCCTATGGGGCAGTTCTACTCTGTCCTACAGGGTCACTATGAGTCGGAATTGAGTCGACGATGGGGTTGTCAGTCTGATCCCATACAGACAGTTCTTAAAAAAGTATAATGCTCAAACTACCCCCCCCCCCACAAAAAGCGTTGCTGTCGAGTCAATTGATTCATAGCGATCCTACAGGGCAGAACTACCCCTTAGGGTTTCCAAGGAGCAGCTGGTGGATTCGAACTGCTGACCTTTTAGTTAGCAGCCCATCTCTTAACCACTATGCCACCAAGGCTCCTTCAGGCTCAAGGCAGACCTTTTTTTTATTAGTTGAGCTATTCTTCAGTTTTAAGATGACTTCAGGAAATATTTTTGGTTTAAGGTTTAAACTATCTCAGGGCAATAATTTCAGGGGTTCACCCAACCTCCAGGGCTCCAGAAAGTCTAGAGTCTATTTGAATTTGAAAGTCTGTTCTGCATTTCCCCCCTTTTGGTGAGGATTCTTCTATGGAATCTTTGATCAAAATGTTCAGTAATGGTAGCTGGGCACCATCCAGTTCTTCTGGTCTCATGGCAAAAGAGGCACTTGTTCATGGAGGCAATTAGTTACACATTCCATACCCTCCGCCTATTCCTCATTGTCCTTCTTCCTCTGTTCCTCCAAGTGAACAGAGACCAATTTTTGTGCCTTGGATGGCTGCTTGCAAGCTTTTAAGACCCCATGCAATACACAACAAACGTGGAGGTAGAACAAAAGCACTAAACATGTTATTAGGCCAATTAACCGGGATATCCCATGATGCCAGGACCCTAAACATCCAAACCAAGGAAACAAACGCCATGAAGTGTTTGGTTGTACATAAGCAGCCTCATCAGCCTTTTTTTTTTTTTTTTGTCATTATAAATGTATCTACCACACAATTTTTGCCAATTCAGTTTCTTACAAGTGTACAACTTAACGCCAGTATTTACAATAATCGGCTGTGCAACCCTATCCTTAATCAATGCGATTTTTCCATCACTGTTAACCCTCCTTTTCCCCTTCCCTACTGTCCCTGTTAACCAGTAATAAACTGTGGTCTCTATACATTTACCTTTTCTTGTCTTTTTATAAAAGTGAGGTAACACAGTATTTGTCCTTTTCTGATTGGCTTATTTCACTCAGCATAATGTCTTCAAGCTCTATCCGTACTGTAGCATGCATTAATACTTCATTTCTCCTACTAGGTGAGTAGTATTCCATTGTATGTATGTACCACATTTTCTTTTTCCATTTATCTGTTGATAGGCATTTGGGTTGTTTCCACCTTTTGGCTATAATGAATAATGCTACAATGAACACTAGTGTACAAGTCTCTTTTTGAGTCTCTGCTTTCAAGTCAATTTCCCCACATCCTCACAAATATTTGTTATTTTGCTGGTTTTTTTTTTTTTAATCTTAGTCATCCTAAAAAAAAGAAAAACCAAACTCGTCGACGTTTAGTTGATTCTGACTCATAGCAACCCAACAGGACAGAGTAGGACTGCCCCATAGGGTTTCCAAGGAGTCCCTGGTGGATTCGAACTGCCAGCCTTTTGGTTAGCAGCTGAGCTCTTAACCACTGCACCACCAGAGCTCCTTAGTCATCCCAGTGGGAGTGAAACGGTTATCTCATTGTAGTTTTGATTTGCATCTCTCTGATGGCTAATGACGCTGAGCAACTTTTCATGTGTTTGGTGGTCATCTGAATGTGCTTTTTGGGGAAATGTCTATTCAAGTCCTTTGCCCATGTTATAATTAGGCTATTTGTCTTTTTGTTTAAACTGTCAAAATTTTATATATATTTTGGTTATTAGATTCATGTTGGATACATGCTTTCCGAAGACATTCTCCCAGTTGGTAGCTTGTCTTTTCACTTTTTTGGTATGGACAAAAGTTTCTAATTTTTATGAGGCCCTATTTATTTATTTTGTCTTTTGCTGTTTGTGCTTTTGTTACTATCTCAGATAATCTATTGTTGAAAGCTAGGCCTGACAGCATTGCTCCTGCTTTTTCCTCTAAGAATTTTATGGTTTTAGTTTGTAGATTTAGGTCCTTAATCCATTTTGAAATTGTTTTGGTGTAGGGGTGTGAGGCATGTATCCTGTTTCATTTTTCTGCACGTGGAAATCCAACTTTCCCAGCACCATTTACTGAAGAGACTCTTTCCCCATCGAACTGACTTAGCACTCTTGACAAAAATCAGTTGACCTAGATGTATGGGTTTATTTCTGGACTCTCAAATTCTATTCCATTGGTCTATGTGTCTATTATACCAGTACCAGACTGTTATGATTATTGTAACTATGTTTTAAAATCAGGAAGTTTGAGTCCTCCTACTTTGTTCTTCTATTTTAACATACTTTTAGCTATTCAGGGCTTCTTGCCATTCCATATAAAGTTGAGGACTGGTTTTT